CTCTCTCTCTCCCGGAGCGTGACGCCCCCGCCGCTGTGGGCTGCGCGTGCGGCGTTGTCGGCGCTGGTCACCTGGACGCTCCATTTCTTCCGGGAGTTGTGGGACCCGCGGGATTGGCCTAGTGCTCGGCCTGATTTGCGCGCGGGAGCGGAGTAAATGCGGCTGCGTGGTCTCTCGATGGTGTTCCAGCATCAGGTGCCTTATTACGAGTCGATATTCCGCTGGTCCACCACGACAGATTGCTTTTCCCCCATCAGTATCTTGCAAGAGACGGATTATTTCAGTTCAAATATGGGGCGGAGTGAAGTGTACAGGTCGGAGAAGTTATACAGTTCTGATTACGAAAGCTATTTAATGGAATTAAATTCGATGGGTAACAAACAATATTGTATGAATATCAACGTTTTTATATCTCCTAAAACCTGTTCTATCTCCTAATGTGGCTGTCACAATTATGTTAAAATATGTATTTATATAATCATGGCTAAAGTTTTTCATACTAATAGCTTTTTTTCCCTTCAGAAAAATTGTTCAGTTTTATTAGTATTACTTTCAATGATACCCGAATTATTTTTAATATTAGTTGTATGAAAGGAAGTATCATTGATCATTCGTTTGAATCGTTCACGATGGACGATTCACAGCTAGATAAAAATAATACAATGTTTTGATTCAATATTGCTCGCAATTGTGAATGTGTTTGTAAGTTCTCCGACCGGAGACTTCTGCTTAAGGACGAGTGATTGAACGTGCGTCCTCTCTTGTGTTCCAGATTCTCCACCAAGGAGTCTGCCACGCACGCCATCGTCGCGGTACACAACACGGATATCAACGGCCAGACGGTGAAGTGCTCCTGGGGCAAGGAGTCGGGCGACCCTAACAACGCGCAGGCCACGGGGCAGGTGAGTGAACAGGTGATTGTCGTGTCCATGTGCACCTGCGATGCTGCCCGCACCCCACACCCCCCCATCTCCTACCCTGTGACCTCACGTCGTCTGGACCCCACCCCTTCCCGCAGCCCGACTAGACAGGTCGGAACGTCACGTCACGCCTCACCGCACTGCACCGAGCGTGCAATTCTTTCGGAGGTTTCACAACGAATACTTCAGCCAATGCGCTAGGAGAGAGAGAGATTTTCCCCATTTTGCGTAGACGAACTTGCGGTATATGCATGTCGAAGGCTTCAGTTTCACATTTGTTTAATTTGTTACGTTAATTTGGATGAGTTAAAATAGATGGGTGAAGAAGCCTTGCTATGTTAATTCAAATGTAAGTGCAAAATATTGGGAGATTCATTTCGTGAACTTTTGGGTCCAACTTGAATCGATGCCATTTTTAATTACATTTATTATTATGCAACATCGATAATTTTATTAAACTATCTTATTATATTATCTTCTCCAGGCGTAATGTGTACTATAAATAAACATTTGTTCAAAATCGGTGTCACATCAACCTCGTGTTACTGATTCTGTATCTCGAAGTTTTTCTGATTACTTTCATATCATAGGCTTGTTGCGATCTGTTTAGTGTGTGGCTGTGCGGACACCCGTACCTTCCTCTCGCATGCTTCGGAATGTGTTCAGTTTCATGTATACTCTCCGAATTGTTAGAGTTCCTTTTATGCACAGCATCCTTTCTGGCGAGATCGTTATCAAGATCAGATATTCATGTAGAGGATTCCTTTTTGCAATATTGCCAGATGATGCTGGTTTTGTGTATATTCACGTAGCATGTATGTATATTCATGTGATGAGTGCCGTCTACGTGTGCAGTGTGTGAATGTATGCAATGAGCAGCGATATCGATTAGTACAGAGCGGGAGTCATTTGCTTGTTAATATTGAAGCCCGCTTGTTTAATTCATAGTTTATTTGAATGGCGTTCTCTAGAAAACCTGATGCGTCCTCCAGCGCTAATGCTTAACGACGGATCGCGCTCTTTCCATTAACCACCTGATGTATTGGCGATCAGACAAATGAGTCGAGAAAACAGTAGTCAATTAAACCACGCGTGTGAAGGAATCATTCTCTACATTTTAGTCAAATGAGATTTATATGCTAACATTCTATCAGGAGAGGGTTTCCTGCAATGTATTCTTAGGGTATTAGAATTCGAATGTATTCATACATTCAGGACGTTACTATGTACATTAAATACAAGTACGTAATATTTGAAATATCACTTGTACTTTTGATTGAATTGGCGCTTTGTTTATGTTAAATAGCCAGCCATGTTTCGCTTCCATCTGAATGTTCTTAAACGTAAGCTTAGTAAGCTTGTTGTCAAAAAGAGCAGAGCAAAGAACAACTGAAGCAGTAATTTCCGAATAGATTCATGTGAAGATTACGCAGGTTTGGGGACTATTTGGGGTGTTTCATTCCATTCTTCGATGAACTCGACTGAACGCGTTGGTAATTTTCCTATGTTAGATGTGAATTGTGTTTTTTGGATACTCTACAAAATGACGGGGGTGTTACGTATGAACGAGATTCAGTTTACTATATTTCTCAAGTTTTTTTTTAAAAAAATATTATATTAACGAAGATTTTAATAGGATAATTTGATCTCGGTTATCTAACTACAAGTCAGATACAGAAAAGTCTCATTTTATTAGCGCTCCCGAGTCGCAATATTTCTCATAGTTATTGGTGTCGTTTAAACAGAATTACCGAACGTTTATTACGAACGTAATTCAACAGTTATGAGGAGATGCAAATGTTACAGAAAACAAAAATGGAACTTTTCCGTGGTATTTTTAAAGACAATCGACAAGTTTATCGAGTTTATCGGTTAATAAATTCTGACTAGTGACAGTGACCGGGCATTAGTATGTAGTAAACGCAAATAATTATTCTCTGAAGGGTGTAGCTGTGATGGAGAAAACCCCTTCCTCCCCCGGATATGACACGTTGCACCCAAATCACGCGAAGACTGTCTCTTTGGATTTCGACTGCGTCCACCGGCCGCTGAGGGCGCGCGCAGGTGCGGAGCCTGCCTGCCGCACACGCGGACGCCGACGGCGGGCGCATGGAAGCCGCAAGCGACACAAGCCGTCGAACAGCTGGCAAGTTGTAATGGCCCTCGTCCACGCGCGCACGCCGCGCGCGGCTTCGTTAACTCGCGGACTGTTCGCGAAAAGCTGTAATGAGAACCCTCTCCACCTGGCGTTTGGGAACAAACGCGGGAAAACCGGCTCGGACAGCTTTCTGCGGGTAGTGTTCTTGAGGGGGGTGGGGGCGGGTTTCGAACGGGGAAACGGTTTGCTTGCCATTGATTCGTCACAGTGATCACGGTGCGTTATCTTGTGCTTTCTTTTAGAATTTCGTGATTCGTTTCGTAACAAGGATTTTGACGTTGCGATTAATCGGCGCGGAGGGTTAGAATCGTTTCGAGTCGAATGGAAACGCAGGATCGTGGTAGACGAATCGTAGTGACCGTTGGGCTGGTGAGTGTGTAGGCGAACAAATTTCTCATTGCCGAAACTAAGCTTCGATATAGTTTTTTAAATATTATATATTTGTTATTCAAATTTAATAGCAAAATTTAATTTAATGTTTCGTGCGACATTTACTGTATTAATACTGTAAATTAAAATATTAAAAGCAAATTGAACCTTAGTATAAAATACATATCTTTATCTGTATGCCGCCACTTTTCTTCATGCCAGGTTTCTTTACGTTTTGTTGGATATAATCACATGATTCTCAAAACTTCATAAAGAATGTTAGTTTTCAAAAGAACAATCAGTTTTCTTAGTTCTACACCTTAATAGCACCGCAACGATGCATATTGGAAAACGGGCCTGGCGAGGGAAGAATTTGGTAGCGAAAATTATCAGCAAGGTTACAGCGAATAGTTCACGGGCATTTTTAATGGCACGCCATTGCCAAGCCACGGGCCCTGTCACGCCATCTCTCTCCGTGACTTCCTCGTCGGCCCGCGCTTTCCTCGTCACCCACATTCGACTGGGCGGTGCCTGAGCGCCGCCCGAGCCGTTCCCTCGCCCCCCGATACCACTGACGGCTTCGCTTCTGGCGTTATGGGTGGCGGCCCCGCCATCTGGTACGCTCGCCCTTTGGCCCAATGGGGCTCCTCAGGCCTGTCCCTGAGCGACGCCCGTCGATTCACGGCTCCATTACAACGCACAACTTCTGCGCCCTCCCATCAGACGTAATATTTCTAAGCTTTAGCCTCTCTCCGCGACGGCCTCCAACCTGACGACGGTCGTCTCTAAGTATCCCACGCCCTACACCCCAAAAGGAGGGTTCATAGTTCTCGCCCGGCGAGCGTACACTGTTGCCAGCCCGCCTCACGCCTCGTCCGCAGGAGGCGTAACTGCCAGCGGCGGCGCCTGCTTGTTTGCCAGCCGGCGATGTCACGCGGCGGGCGGCGTGGGGTGCGAACGGCGAGCCGCGTTTCTGTATGTCCCTCGCGCGCCCCGCGCCTCCCTCGTTCCGTTCGCTCGCGTCCGCCGCCGTCGGCGCCTAGAGAGGTGTCGCCCGCGTCCACAGCGTCGCCATGGCGACGCGGCGAATTGCCCATCATCAAGTATCATTAGCCCATCGCAGGGCCCGGGATCGCGGCGGGGAGAGGGCATTAGCGGCGGAACGAGCGCCGCTTTTTATCCCTCGACGGGCAGGGGGACCGGAGGGGGGGAGCTTTCTCCCCGCTCCCCCCACACCAGACGCGACTCGGCGCCGTGTCCCCCCCTGGCCGGGCTTGCAGCGCGGCGCGCGCATGTGTGATGCCGGGTGGGGAATGTTCCGGGCGAGCGGAGAAGCGTTTTAGAGGGTGCCATACGGTGCTTTGTGGATTCTCCCACGTACATAATTAGTACCGAATCTTCGCGACACGTTTTTTAAATATTCAGGTTACGTATGGTTTCAATGATAATGGTCAAAATCTATTGTATTTCCATTAGCTTTTCAGAAAAAATATTAAGTGCTCATACGTACATTAACAGGCATTGAGTCTTTTTACATTCAGCCTGCCAATAAGGTTCGAATGGCTACAGTGTCGCAGTAAGAAATTTTACTTCTATTCTATTATTCATGATTCCTCTTTTATTTTGATATATTAATTTTATGGGCAATATTGTTAATAATGCTTGTGCTTCATCCTTATCAGTGCAGTTTTCGTACCGTAGACCCTTCAAACCCGCCAGGAAAGATTTAAAATCACTGCCCCTTGTATGGTACGAGTCACTTCAAAAAATCGTGATGTGTCAAGAACGAACAATAACGAAGGTAAAAATAAATCAGGAGTTGTATGTATTAAGTTTTATTTAATATACCTTACAAATAATAGTCGTAAAATATTTAAATGATCACCAGAACTGTTTCTGAGTTAGTTGGTCATGTATTTAGCATTACTTTTTCAAGTAAACGAAACTATTTTCTTAGAACATTGTTTCATGTAAGATATGTTTCCGAAAGGGTTCAAATATATATATGTCGGAAATGAAAAAAAAAACTAATACTTTTTTTACTCTCAAACCCAATGCAGTAATCTAGCAATATTTGGTAAATTTACTTTTTGCGAGAAATTTGCATTTTTTAAAAAATGCCTCGTTGTTTTTCTTTTCTGGTGTTCGGCGGAGCGCGCGGTTTAAACAGATCGTCTCACTGATAGCGGTAAATGTTTGGGTTCGGTTGCTATGGAAGTGATTCGCTTGATTGGCGTGACTTAAGGATCGCCGCTGGGCAGTGGGGGTGGAGGGGAAGGGGAAGGGGTTCCGTGCCGTCACGAAACCGTGCTCTCCGACTGCCCCGCTTGATAACGCCTTCGCCGCCGCCGCCGCCGCCCAGATCTACCTTCAATATATGCAAAGCAACGGACGGCCGCATAAAGTAGAAAAAATATCGCGCCGAGAGTTTGTTGACGGCCGCGCGCAAAATGTT